CAATTTTACTATGGAGAATGCTTTAAAGGAGAACCGAACATTTCGATTTTTTAATGAACGTTGATTGCACCGAAATCTTGGGTTGGATCCTGTGCTCATGGATTACTACAAGGCGAATGCACTATGAACTTGAATACTGTAACACCAGTTATGACTGATTTTTACGGGCTCCAGCGTCATCATGTACCTTAGTCAGAAGATTACCTGACAAAAGGTCCACTCGTATGAACTACAACCTTTCGGTTATACCTTTCAGTAAAACAAAATGTTTTACTATTCCAAAGCAGCCATGTCTGTATACATATTTGACTATGTCTTCAAAGTTGTGCAGGGTTTTACCGGGAATATACCATTTATTTATTCATTTATTCTAGGTTAAGATAGAAAACCAAGGTATTCGTTTGCGCAGCGCTTTTTGCCAGATTTAGTTGCTTGCCAGTTTTTCCTCATTTCTTGCGCACGACATTATCAAGCTGCCCCACCTATTAACTGGCTTTCATTAAATATAATGGCTCACAAGGACTAACTGCTTAACGTCCTTCATCTTGTTTGTGTGTTAACGGGTTTCTTAATGGTCTCTTACGGCATAAGATTGCCCATCTACTTTGCAGTTAAGCAGCCAACCTAGGTGAAGCAATTTAAAGCTTTGATGTCTGTTGTTTTCTGAGCTACCGTGCGCATTCAAATGTTCGCAAGCTAGAAGCAGTCCCCGCTACGTGCGGTCGGGTGCTACAGCCCTTTTTGATGGCAAGGAGGGGTCAAAATAAATACCATGCGATAAATGCTCGCATCTTAGGTGCGTACCTATTTGCTCATGGTTATTCCTTATTAGAATATTTCAATGTTAAATTTTAGTTATTGGTGGCGGTAATACTTGCAACTTTAGCAAGCGATTCATTTCGTTTAACATTCATGTTCTTATATATTTCATCACTTTTTTGCTACCCATTGTATAATAAGTAAAGAAGCTCCGTTTGTTTCCGAGAACGCCTACCTCAAACAGTTTCCCTCCCATCCGTGCGGTCCGGGTTATCCCTACTTTTGTTCTGTGCTGCAAATTAGCCGCCCCTGCTGCGTGCTGATTCTCTCACGGGCCCTTCCTCTAACAAGCAGCGCGCAAGCGTACTTTTACCTTGCTTGACATTATGATTCTGTAGATAGTTGCCATCTAATATACGTTTCTGTATTACGAGCCACATTTTCAAACGACTTGCAGACTCTCATTATGTTTTGGAAACATAATATTTTGCAATCAAAAGGAACACTGGTATAATAAGAATAACAAAATCAGGGCATGACAAGTCCCTGCAATATCATGGAGAAATAATGATAATGCAAAAGTTTGAAAAAAAGTACAAGACTCATTTTTGGATCCACTATATCATCCACGTTACCACTAAGGTAAGTTCTGCTATCAGGCTTTGATGGTGTCGGTGAGCAGAGGGTTTGTCTAAGCCATGTCTTCACAAATGAATGTAACTCAGCACAAATACTGTAGCTGGTGTAAAGTGTCGTTGGGTCATTTTTAAACGTGGGCAGATTAGACGCGGAAATAAGAAAATTTAATGATCGTTTCACTATTGAGAAACGCCGGGGAAAATAATGCCGCAGCATTCCAGCCGACTGTACTGGGTGGTAAGTTTTACTTTGCCTCAATTCTGTGTTGTGGATAAGCTTCAGTAGATGTCGGCAGGAGTGGCCAAGGTTTTCCAAAACAGGAGCGCCAGGATGCGGCCACCCCGCAAGACGGCGATATCCTCCGCTATATGATCTTGGGGTTTTCAGTAGCCTAATCTATTGAAGGTAGGACAACCCCTACACATTGCTTGTTGCCTTAGCTGGACGGTCGCTAGGGCAGCCAGGTTGAGTTTTAACGAGAAGTGCCAATCCTGGAGCGCTTACTCTACATGCAGCTTTACATTCACAGCGAAGGTTTAGGTGAACCAACATGTTGGTTCGCGCTTTTGTATGTCTTTAAGGACAGCGCCAAACAGCCAAAGTTCTTTTGTAGCACAACCCTACCGTCTTACGCTTGTATGGCTGGTACATGCACGTCGTCCCTAAGCTTATATATGTAAGTAAGCATGTGGCGGACATCACACTTTTGCACTTGACCGTGGTAAACGGAAAGTTTGCCTACCACAATCGAACAGCCAATCTCCTGCCAAAGCTTGAGGTCATCGTAAGAAAGCAGGAAAATTAACTTGATAATATAGGCAAGCGCTTTAGTAAAGCATAAAAATAAACGCGGCTCTATTAATGTCCTTTTTAGAATCCCGCAGTCCACATTAATTGGGTCATAATGTAAAGCCGAACTCGAACCTGAGGGCGCCGCTGATGTCGGAAGTTTCCCAGTTATCCAAGGACACGGTTCCCGACTACCTATGCCCGCACAGGTTGTAGAACGATGAGGTGATCTATGCGGTCCAAAGCGCTAGAAAAGTCTAGTTAGTAGACTGTTGCGTTGTCAATTATCGCCCACCAACCACCAAGGGCAGGCAGTGGATTGGTAGTAATGACCGGTGCTGACGCAATCCGTGTTTCTCCTGTGTCATAAGTTTGGACCTTTCATAATAGACCATTACAGTCACAGCTATGATCGCATCCAGCACCTTTGAGAGCACCTGGGGAAAATCACCGAGAAATGTTTAACGGGCTCAAAACAGCTACCGGGCTTGAAAATCGGTGTAACGCTGCCTTGCTTCTGTAGGTAAGGGACCAGCTGCTCGTCCAAACAGCTTTGTAACCATCTGTATAATAGCACAGCTAGCCACATAGTGTCCACCTGCAGTGTTTTCAAGGAACTGATGTAAACTATGGTGAAGCTTTTAGTAGGCAATGATAAGAACTTACTCAAACTGGTTGCTGAAATAAGCGTGACAAGTGTACATACCAGTTTCTGAAGCATGGGACAAGCATGTTACAAACTTTGATAGCGTGTTGGAACATTGTAGCATATTTTAGTCGGAGGGCATGTGATGCAACCCCGATGGTTTGCGTACCTCAACCTCCTGATATTATATAAACGAATAAGTAAATATTCTGGACAAAGCAAGGCACGCCTTTTGTACATGAGCAGAATAGTGCAATGTTGTACATGTTGACATAATAAGCGGGCACCAGAGCAAGGGTAATAGGGAGAAAGTCTGTAGCGTAGGTCAGCATGGCCCAACGATTGAATGATGTCTATCCCCGCAAAGAGCTGGATGTAAAGATAAGAATTACAGAGCTCACTGAAGTGTGGTATGTTGGTGAGGTCCTGGTCCGATAAGGGTTTGAACCCAGTGCTATTCAAGTGCCTGAAGCCTGAGGACCCATTTGTTAAAGCCTTTTAAGAGTAGTGGCATGTCACTGATCAAACATGTAGGTCTAGTAGTATGCGAACGGACATACGCACAAAACGTGCTGTGTGGTATCAGTTAACTTGTCAGTGCGTGGTAAAGAAATGTCCACGAGTTATTGGAAAATGTTACAAACGCAACAAAAATTACCGAAGATAAGCGCAATCAGCGTAAGAAAACGTGGCCAGTTAATAAAAGATTATTCATGTAGGCAGAACAAACCAAATAAAGTGGAATGAAATTTATCCAGCTTAAAAAGACCTAGTTTAAGTAAGTTGGTTTAGCTCAACTGCGGTGAAGAAGCATCAAGAATGCAGCATTAGCCTCAGAAAATGGACATACCACTGTATTAAGGATCACAAGCTTGTTTTGCAATATGAAGGCGCGTATTCGCGCATGCGCATGGACCGGGAAACCCTAGCAGTATCATAAGCCCGCGTGCGACTGGTGATTGCGTTGCATCGAGGCGTCGATACTGGGTAACTGGCGTGCTGCTAATGCCCTGCTTCTCTTGGTCCAAAAACCTGTCCGCAAGGCAGCGGCTACCATCACAGTAGCTCGCGTTGATCACCGAAATTCGTGGTCAGAGCAAAGGCTTTTGAAAGACTGTCAGAGTTCGCTGTGCTACACGCTGGCAGGCAAAGTCCGTCGAGAATCTAGCAATTCTTAGAATCTTGCAAAAATTCAACTTTAAGCTGCGCAAAGAGCAAGACTGTAGTTTGAGAAACCGGAGGAAATTATGGCTTGTTGCTGTCCTGACCGGTGTTGGTCAACGTTCAGAGTACGGGAGAGAGCGAGATTTTTAAGTAGTCCTTGCTGATACTCCGGTCTTACCGGCTTTGTTTGACTTTAGTTAAAGCACCGGAACACAAACGGACGTGTTAAAGGGTAGTAGAGTTGAGGTGGGGATATATATACCCGATGGGCTCGTAGCCTAAAGGTAAGGAGCTTCGCTTGGAATCTGATGGTGCGAATTCGAGTCTGGGTACGGTCAGTGCGACCCTTGTAGTATTCTTAACCCACGTGAGACCGGTGGTGATTGCGCGGCGTCGAAGCGTCGGAAGTGCGTACCGGAGTACTGCTGATGCTTTTCCACAAGAGGAACAAGGAGAACTGTTTACGGTAATATTAAAGGACAGTCTACAAGCAGGTGTAAAATTGTCAGCCCGGTAATGGAGACTAATGAACTAGTAGAGACGTAAGATAAATAGTTTCCCGACCACATGACGCACAGCTGAATGTTTCTCTTAGTGCAGACGAAGATGTTTCACGACACATGGGAAGTCAGTTAACGGCAGATATCGGTAGGAGGTATACTTTGTGCAACCAGCTACTGGACAACCTTGTGAGCAGGCGATAAGTAGTGATTAAGCATAAGTGAGTCCATAAAAAGTCAAGCAACATGCAGACGCTCATTAAAAAACGAAATGAAGGAAATCGGAGCTAAGAACTAACCAAAAACTCGTCCTGGCGTGCCGGATATCACATGCTGACCATAATCGAGCTTTCGGATGTCCTCCCCGATATTTGTGCCACCGTAGCATGCATGACAATGAACATTCATGTAGTCACCAAGGGCGAGAATCACTTTCTGAATTTGGGAAGCCAATTCTCGGGTAGGGGACAATATGAGGGCTTGTGTCTCGCGCAGTTGAGTGTCTAACATTTGTAAAATAGACATGGCCAGTGTAGCGGTTTTCCCAGTACCCGACTGAGCTCTGCAATGGCTGTAAAAATCACTAAGAAGACTTACTGAGCAATGACGTCTCGACCTTTCACAATCTGCTTGATGGCACGTTGTTGAATAGCTGATGGACGTTCAAAGCCTAAAAATAAATCTGTCTAAAAACGATACCATATGCGTAGACCCCTCGGAGTAATTCATCTCGAAGACCCATTGACTCAAAGCTTGGGATGACTTCAACGTCCTCGGAAGTCTCGAACTCAACATTTTTTAGTTGATCATCAGGATTCTGTCTAACACTCCGCGAGCTAGTAAAATCCATGATACCTAAAATTGTACATTAGTGAGGCAGTCGCAGAGAAACGATAATTATAGAACAAGTTTTATAACTATAGTGTATTTCAAGAAACGGACAGGAAACTAGTATTTCCAAGGGTCTTCACCATCAGGAATTAAACGGTCAGCATGCAATGCACTTCTATTCTTCATTCTAGAATTGTCATTGACAAACAAGCGCGAAAGAATCCAGGCACAGCTGAGACCCAGAACAGCACCGGAGGAGATTGAAACGATACGACCAACCAAATTGTACTGAGCCAACTTAAGTGGCTTCATCACAGGCCTTTAATTTCTGCGAAGAGTAACACGGTTTTAGTCGTTACCTTTTCTGATTGAGTCTTTTGAAAATCTTTATATATAATGAAGGCAAAAAAAGCTGGGGCTATAACTGTGTAGAAATTACGTCGCACAATCCTGACCGCCTTGGATAGAAACATAGGACGGCGGAACCGGTCTGTTACGGGACCGTAGAGCGCTCCTACGGCGAACGATCGAGAGTTGGTTACGTATCTATGGGTCAGCTGTCAGCTGTTTTCAGTTACCCCTTTTAGTCCCGAACTAATTTACCTATTGCTGGACAAGAACCACAAAATTTTACTCTACACACAGTAGAACGAAGTATCGGAGTTCTGGTCCCCACTGTTTATTGGATCATGGGATGCTAGAGAGTTCAAGTTCAAGTGGATAAGATGAATCTCGTAAGTGTTCCTTCTTGAGTGGGTCGTCGATCCAGGAATTGCTAGGGGTGCTCCGACTTCTTGATGGGTCTAAAAGGAAGACACCCGAAAAAACACCCTGGTCCACCAATTTAATACCCACGTTCCTTACATTAGCTGTCCCAGCTGTCAGTTATGTGAAGTAGGTAGGAGAAGAAGCAAAATTAAAGGTAAGGGAAATCAGTTAAAAGAAAAGCATAGTATCAATGGCGAGGAAAACTAAAGAAAATAGAATCGAAGTTCGAAGATGGGAATTAGTCAGGAAAAAGGAAAGGTTTCGCGTTGCCACCCAAGAGCGTCTAGTTGACGCTCAAACCCCTTAGCCGTAGCTTCGTTGACAAAATTTCTGGAATCAGGTTCCAGTGCTTGATGACTCGACGCGATAACCATGTCTCCGCTCTAACTCGATCAGACCGCCTTTTGTCTAGCTTCATACAATGCCCGCGGAGACCAGACAACCTAGCAGGACTAAATAGCCAGGACAAACCAGGGCCAACCTTCCCAGTCAAACTACTGTAGGTTCGGATTAGGTCCCCTCTAATCCTTCGATAGTGCATTGACTGCATCCTCAAACTAAGTAGGCGTTCGGGGTACGTTTGTCCTCGTACTCCGTTGACCAACCTAGTACCGACACGCAAAACTCTCTCTAGTGCCATTTTGTCCCGGACAAGACAAGGTGGACAAGCCTGGACACAATATTCTAGGTGGGGTCGCACAAACGCTGAGAAGAGCTTCACAAACCCATCTGCGGTTAGGGTCCTGAAAGAACGACGGATAAACCACAACATCCGGAACCGTTTACTAGCCACCTTCTTCCAGTTGTCTCCAGAGTGTAGTGTGGAACGGTGGACCACACCTAGCTCAACCTGATGAGTCACGTGAGGAAGTTCACTCCCATCGAGCACAAAACTTGTGGAGGAAGCTGACGCTCTGATACGTTACACTGAACACTTTGCCCGGTTTATGGGCCGCAACCATAAGGCAGACCGTTCCCAGAGTCTATGCAGAGCCCGATTAATAGACACAGGGCCTACAGGGATATCAACAATATTCCAGAGCTTTAGGTCATCAGCAAATAAGAGCGATGGTACGTCATGCACCTCCGGCAAGTTATTCACGTATACTGAGAACAGCAACGGACGTAGGACAGAGCCTTGCGGAACGCTGCTAAATACAGCTTGTCGAAACGAAAGACAGCTTCCCACACGAATACACTGTTCCCGTCCATCCAGAAAAGCTGACACCCTCTGGAGAGCGCGACCAGCTATTCCATACGACCTCAATTTCAGTGAGAGTAGCGAATGGAGGACAGTGTCAATGGCCTAGGCGAAGTCAATGAACACCATGGCCACCGCGTGTCCACTTTCTACGGCTTCAACCCAGCACTCACGAGCTACCAGCAAGTACGTTTGACACGAAAACCCTTTGCGAAAACCACGTTGCTCGACGCTAAGCAGGTTAAACATATGTAAATGGTTTTCTATTATATCTCGTACTAAGTTTTTAAGTAAATAAATAAATAAATAAATTTTTATTCTCGACAATGCGAGGCACACCTTTACAGGCATGAGCATATTTAGCTAACATAGTGTGATCAAATTGTACAAGAGACATGTTTGGCATGCCAGTGTATGTAAGTATATGGGTGTATATACGTAAGTAATTGTGTAGGAATGTAGCTTGTGTTTTTGAATGCGCCGCAGAATTTTTGACTGTTTGTTATCTTCAGGAATGTGAGAATAAGCGATTGATTTTCTTGGGTTAGATAGCATTTTCCGAATATCCACGGGCCAGTGACTTTAGTTTGTGGCGATTCACATCCGCCACGACCACGCTAGTCAAGCTGATAGGTCTGTAACTAGCCGGTAGGTCTTTGGCACCGCACTTGAAAATCGGGCAGACAACAGCTTCATTCCATTGGGTAGGTAAAACACAGCTTTTGAGTGACTTCTGAAATACACAAGTCAAAGGTCCACTGAGTTCCACTGCCAATTCGTGCAACAAATTTGGATGGACAGAATCTGGCCTGGAAACCATAGTTGGGTTTACCTCTCTTAGCAACCGGAGAACTTGGGTCTCAGTTACAGGAATTTCATCCAGACAGCAGTCCTTAGAGACTCTTGAAGCTAATCCTTTGTATGGCGTATTTGATTGGCGGACTAAGACGTTTGAGTACTGCTCACCAAGCATGCATGCCCTGTCATATTCATTATAGGCATGGGTCCCATCTCCTCGAAGCAATGGGGGTATGGGTGGGGTTTGCACCACGGCGTCGTTTAACTTAAACGAAGGAGTTATTGGGATTTTTCGAGGCATTATCAGCTAAGCCCTTTTCATACCGAAGTCGGGCCAACCTAAGATGTATCGCACTGATTTCGTACTAACCGATACTTGTCAAGCGTGCTGTTCGACGGAGCTGTTCGGTACGCTCGCCAGCATCTAGATCACTTCTTTAGCAGGCCCTTCCCAGCGGAATCTATCCACGGAGGCTGCGCTCTCGATTCCCTTCTTTTTACCATTGGGATGTGAGGTGCAGAAATGTCGACGAGGTGAGCCTTAAGTTTTTCCCAGGCTATGTGAACAGTGTCGGTCTCAGATATCACACAAGGCGATGATCTAGCTTTATCCGCATCGCTTAAGAGTCCGCGGCCCAAATGTTCGGATACCAGCTGGCAGTAGCTTGGCAAGGCCTGATGAAGGTACACTGGAAAGACAAGCAAACGTGATCGCTGGCGCCAAGAGGCGTATCGTAAGCAATGTTATTTACAAAGTCAAGTGGCTTAGCAAAAACAAGATATAAAATGGACGGCTGCTGATTACTCATATATCTAGTGGGGAGGTCCAACAAGTAGTGTAGTGTTACCTGCAGCGTTAAGTCCAGCAGTTCTGTACGGAAGGATCCCAGCGCCGAACTGCAAGGTTGAACATCCCAACAAACATCTAAGAGGTTGAAGCCTCCCAGCACCAGACACTTGTTCGCAGAGTGAGTGCGTATAAATTCAATGATTCCACTAGAGGTGCTCATCGGGCTTCTGTACACTAACACAACCGTAACCTGAACCGAGGAAGCGCAAATCAAGCTTGCGAGAGCCTCAACAGATTTGTCGAGGGACTGAAAAACGCTGGTTCTCAATACGTCGATGTGATAATTCACATAAAATGCCCCACCACCCCATTGACGGCCAGTGAAGCGGTCAGCGCAGAACACTGCGTAACCAGGCTGATATACTTCGCCTTCTGTGAGTTCCTCAGGCAGCCACGTTTTAATGAAGCATGCATATCTGTACGAGATTTGTCTACGAGCAGACCCACCTCGCACATCTTGTTCTTCAAGCTACGCAAGTTAGTGAGTACTACTTGGAGAGCTTCGGCACGACCAGCCCTGGGTCGTGCGCAAGTAGAATAGGTTCTGGCAGGGCGGAAAATGATCGCCGGCTGACCACCTGAACACCCGCCAATAGGAGACCTTCCTCGCTAGCTGCAAGCTGGGCTTTTGGGTCACCGATGGCTTCCTTTAACTTTAACCTATCCGCTAACGGAAGGTCTGGTTGCACACTAACGTTGGTACCTTTGGGCTTGAATGCAAACCTCAGTAAGGCCCTGCGCTCTTTTGAGGTGGGGCGGACCACAATAAGCAGACGGGGTCGAGGATTTGGTTGATCAACCGGAACGTTCCCAATCTGATGAGCTTCCTGATAGTAACGCCAAGGAAACCAGGTGGCAAAGGCCTGGGCACGCAAGCTTTAAGCCAACCAAGATCATCAAGCATGCGCTCGGTGGGAAGAGCAGCAGTGGATGCAATGACGTTTCTGGAAATCACACTGCTATTTGTGTACGAGGAGCCTCGACGAAGCGTATTTACTCCCCATGCTCTATCATCCATGCCACCTAGTTGTTTGACAGGAATCGGTGGGACAGAAGGCGACGTAACCTCTTGACTCACTGAGGAAATTGCAACACCAGGTGGTGTTCCCGAATCAAGCGCTTGTTTCTTGATAATTTTATCACCTTCCGGTTTGGGGGTAGAAGTTATGCGCGCTTTCCTTGCCTTATTCGGCAATGGATCAGGAGCCCGTGACTCACCTTCCATTTGGAGTGGGTCAACAATGCCGTCCGAGGCACCTGTGTCAGTTAAATCCACGTGAACTGGAGCGTCCGGTAGGATGAACGCCTGGTCAACGGTTGGACTGTCAGCAGAAAGACAGTCCGTTACAGCGTCCACATTCGCAATATTCATTGCTTTCATAATCAAATCCACTTTAGAGTTGAGCGAGGCAAGAAAGGCAAGCTCGGCTAATGCCTTCTCAGCAACTGTGAATCTGGATTCTTGTACTTTGAATACAGCACAGGTGAAAGCCGGGAGCTTCGCTTTCTGAGCGGAACAATCAGCACATCTAAACATAAGATTTTCACTGGATGATCGCATTTTGTACTGATTCGCTCGGAGGCCGGTACAACTTTGTGCTACAAATGGGAGCAAACATCACACTGCACACCACCAGATGAATCCGTAACTGGTCTTGAACAAGCAGAATGACTGCAAACTGCGTTTGCCTCATTGAACGAGGACGCAAGAGGCTCATCGGCCTCGGATTTTCGCGAGACGACCAGGTTTGTGGAAAACAGGGCAGAATTTAAAATCACGTTTACAGCCGTAATACGACCATAATAAAAAGGCAAAACAGGGTGTAAAATGGGAGTAAAAAAGGAAAAAACCGGAACATTACCAGTAAGCGTCAGGGAAACGCTTTGGCCAGTACCACTTTAGCCGATCCAAGATATCTTGGATCAGATTAAATTTGACAATAGT